CTTGAGCTTGATATTGAGGTATTATTGTGTTTATTTTTATAATGGACTACAAATCCGCATACATTATTAGCATTTATGAATAAATATCAAGTTGCTTAAATTGGCTTAATCACTTTATTAGATTAAATGACTTTAATATTTGGATCAAGTGATCCTTTAAAAACCGTTTATATTATATATATATATATATATATATATATGTTATATTATATATATTATATATATATATAATAAACCCATATATTAATTCTTGTTTCATTTAGTGTTCTGAATGTTCTGAAAAATTTACAAATATGTAAAACTGTTGATCATCTGTTAACCATGTTAATCCAGTTATTGACAAGGAGTCAAAGTTATGCAGATATTGCCTAGAAATAATTCCAACTGAGGATGAACTCCGAAGACACATAATTCAAGCTCATCCAAATGATACAAAGAATACAATGGTGAACACTCTTGCATGTGTTATGTGTGAGGTATGTAAGAAAAATTTGATATAATTAATGCAAATTTAAGTTCTATATTTCCATGTTTTTGTATAGTATTAATTTTTAAATTTTTGAAAGTTCAAAGCAATTGAATTTTCAGTCAAATAATTAGTTAATCAGTTTGATAGAATAATTTAGGCATGAAAGTGGTACAATGTCAGAGCAAAAATACAACACTACCGTTTTAATTAAATTGTTGATGGAGAAATTACTGTTTTTACTAGAGAATCATATCTACAATTTATCATATTTATATTTTAGTTTTATAATCATTTAAATTTATTATAATTCTTAATATGGTATATTTTAGACAAGATATTCGACAATAGGCCTATTGGCAGCTCATATGAGCAAGATGCATGTAGCTTTCGAAATGCCTTACATGTGCGGCACATGTAATCACAGATGTTCTTCACATAGAGTTGCCATTGAACACTTTTACGAAGATCATGATGGAGATACAAGTTTGCAATGTCCATTCTGTTTACAGGTGAATACAAAATAAAATAGAACATGAAACTACGGTTGAAATATAAGTATATTACTATATATGTTTTAAATACATGATTCATGCATAGAAATTTGTAGTCTACATATATTCTTCTTTCTACTTGATTTTTTTTTTTCAGGCTATGGTGATATGGGCTAAAGATAAGCCTCGAATTCAAACACTAAGGGATTTCTATGATCATTTGAAAAATCACATGGATCGAGTAACTGCTAAGAAATGTACTAAATGTGCTTTATGGTTCTATGACAAAGGTAATAAATGACTAAGAAACACTGGTAAAAATTAAACTTACTAAACATAATTAATTACATTTAAGGTGCTCTGAGAGAACATATCTTATATGCTCATAAAACTCAAAAACAACTTAGTCAGTATATAAAGAATAACTGCATTTCATCAACAATGGTTAATAGACCTAAGGTATGTATATTTTCTAACAATAATGTGGTTTTAATGTATTTATTATATGAAATTAGGATTGCCATCATAATATTCACTATTTTTCGAGCTGGAAGCTTAAAATCATCTTATCAAAATCATATACTGTATTTTTTTATTTTTAGATTAAAGCAACTCCACCCAGAGATATTATATCTCATACAGTTGTAGAAAATTATGACAAACTAACAATGTATGTTGAAGATGGTTTAAACTGCATAGAGTGTATCAGTGACTTTGGAGACAGAAGACATTTTCTGTAAGAATGCTAATTTTAATTATTAATCGCGCTAGATTAGAGGTATACTTAAATAATGAAGTTGAATTTCATTGCAGGGGTAACTGAAATGTTCTAAATGTTTATATATTACAGTTGCTTTAAAACTATGTTGAAGCATACTGCTGGCTGCACAGGTTTTAATTCAGCTACTTTAATTCCACTTGAACCCATTGATGCTGAAAGAATTGCATTTGCGGTTTCTCATCTAATGATGGTTTGTATTTTCTATTTTACCTTTGCGATAAAAAGTTTTATGATTGAGTAACTAAATGGATTAACATTTTTCTTATTAAAGTAACATTTTGTCTTATTAAAATATTTATATAATTTGATTATAATTAATATGAATGGTTACAAAGTATATCCAATAGCAAATCATTTATTGCTTACTCATTATAATTATTAAAACAAATTTTTTTGAATAATTATTATTTTTTGCAGATTTAATGTATTATTTCAATAATCATAACATCTGATAAAATTGAAATTATTTATTTAGTTATTTAATACTTTAGTAATATATTTTGTCATAGGGGAATTAATTGAAAAAATTGATAAGGAAAAGGTTATGGTGCAGGAACACAATTTTTTTCTGCATTTTTAAGAAAGAGTCTAGTGCTTTTTTTCTCTGAAAAAAGCAATATTACTTCCTGTGTGTATAATTTATAATTATAATTTCAGGTAACACTCTAGCCAAACATTTAGTAATATGTGATCGTAAAACAGCATATATGTCTACAGAAGATGCAACTTCTAATAAAGTGGTTAGAAGTATGTTGGACATGTTAGGTCTCATGAGAAGAAATCATGACAATGAAGAAGATCATAACGATACTACTGATAATAATGATAATATTAATAATGCTGACGACGCTGACAATGCTGGTAATAATGATAATACTAATAACATGGATAATAATGATAATATGGATAATAATGATAACATTACAAATGATGATAATACGGATAATAATGATAATACAGAAAATAATGATGATATGGAAAATAATGATACTATAGATAATGATGACAATATCGATAATAATGACAATATTGATAATGATGTTAATATCGATAATAATGCTAATAATGATATGGATAATAATGATGATAGTAACAACAAAGATGTTAATCAGACTGAGCAAGTAGTAAAGTCTGATTACGTTGCAGACAAATCTGAGGAATATATGGAAAATATAGATTATGCAAAAGAGCAAAGTGTTGTAGATGATTCATCAAAATCACAGGATGAATTTGATGTATGTATGCCTTCTGTTCATATATTTATGTATTTATTTTAGAATTACAATTTGATATTGATATACATTTGTATTGATACTTACATTTTTGTATTAAATTATATTTCATTCTTAGAAAATATGTGAAGAAAACCCCAATGAGGATATTATGGAAGCAGATCCTGAACAATCACAAAGTAATCTCGATGCTCCAGTTATTGACACCGGATTATCACTTGATGATCTTGCTGCTCCACCAAGTGTACTGCCTGCACCTCTTGGACAAGGAGAACTTGATATCAAAGACGACTACCAGGTTGGTGACTTAGTTTAAATTCAAAGTTATCAACAAGTTTATTTCGAATAACGTTTTTTTACAATATGGGAGTAGCCAAACTAATTGCTGGTTTAAGTTATTATTTGTTCATGAAAAATATTTTTTCAATAGATCATGTGTTTCTAAAATTTTAAATTTTCTATAAGTAAAATTAAATTTTTCCTTGCAGAGTTTAGCTACCCCACAAGTTACAAGCATGGAAAGTAATATGGATAGTAATGATTTTGAACCATTATCTGCTGGATCCGAGTTTGAGCCACTGTAATTTGCAAAAAAAAAAAATTTATTGTATATAGGCTTTACGTAAATTTAGTTTTAAATATTAGTTGTTCTCAACATTTTAAGAATAACCAAGATTTTAATGTAATTTTGTTTTAATACACTTATCGTTAATATAAATTGACTAAATTTCTTTTAAAGTTCTTTGAATTTTTTTTCTCTATCATAATATCATTCTTCAAAATAATTATTTGGTTCATAACACTTTATTAAGATAATGATTTAAACAAACATTATATAAGTAAACAATTAGTAATTTAACATTGTTATGAGTGTCTTATTATACTTGATTTGACTTTGGCTGCTTTAATTTTATTGTATCTGCAATCACAAAAGTTTTATTTAATTAATCAACTAGTAAGTTTTGCATTACTTGCCAACGTAAACTACTTACATTATTGCAACATATTAAAAATACGTGCGATGGATCACCATTTTACTGCACCTTGCGCCCACTTCTTTCTAAGTTCGTCCAAATTGGGAAAGATATGATTTCTTTGAACGCTTGGATATCGTTCTATTATTTTTTCAGGGGCTGAAAATTAAACTTCTTATGTAAAACTAAACTACTTTTGACAAAATGAGAAAGTAAACCGTTATTTAAATTTTGATAATATAAATATTAACCATGATAGATAGTAATACTTACTCCAGTCTGAAACAATAATGGAACTCCAGCCTGCTTCGCGTGCTCCATGGTAATCAGCCGTTGCTTGGCGACCTATGTGCAGTGCGTCTTTAGCTTTAATACCAGGGAGACGAGATAGAAATAATGCTCGGTTAAATAAGCGCCTGTCTGGTTTTTCTGCTCCTTCATTGTAGGATGCTACAGCAAAAGCAAAATACTCCTACGAATAAGATATTAAATATATTTTAGTGAACTTTATATTATTGTAATGCATTATATAACAATTAAAATTTTGACCAAGATAGGAAGTTCTATAGTTTAAGAAATGGCTAAAGCTGTGATATTAACATTTTCTATCTGTATCGATGAGTACGATTTTTAAAGATATGTATGATAAAATTTGTGTAATTTTTCATTATTGATTTTCAAACGTTTTACTATTTATTTACTAATGGCTTAAAGACAATTATTTGCTATTGTGGCTATTTTCACAAAAACAATTCTGATAGTTTTGAACTATGCAATTCATGATTGGGTATGAGTTACGAATCGTTTCAAATCTATGAAGTTAAGTTTAATTATATATTTTAATTATGCTATTACTTTTAATCCCATGCGATCAAGTAATTTGTCCAGCCTAGTATCAAAATTAGAAACAACGCCCATTCGAATTTGATGATCTTGTAGCTGCGCCAATAATTGTGGACAGCCAGGGCATGTTTGCCATTGTACTGGAGAAGTAAGAATTTCTTCCACGTTCTGCGATACTGCTTCAATGCGTGGATCTCCAGGACCATCAAGATGTGTGCGGAAAGTCTCGAAGATCAATCTGTCCCACCTATATTAGGAAGATATTAATATCCACGCCTGAAAATCCGATTCATAGCAAAAAATCTTACCATTATCGTTGATGGTCAACACTTAAATAAGATGAACATGAAGTAGAATGAAATGTAAAGGTATTGAACTATTTTAATTAATGTAGTTGCACAAGTTGCATAAGTTTGTTTATATTTGCAATTATATTACATTGCAATTATAAGTGAAAACAAGAATTTTATTTTCAATATAAATAATGGAAAATTTTAACTAGTTTTACCTATTATTTACACTTATCGAGAAGTTTATGCAAACTTTTATGAAATAAAAGTTTAAGCCAAAATTCCACTTTGACCCATATAAGATTTTTTTTAAAAATTATTACTGCTACTAAAATTCTTCGAATACATTTTATAATTTTTCATAATCTTTAAACTGGCCTGATTTATATAATATATATACATATTATTATATATACATATATATATATATATATATATATATAATAATAATAATATATTTATTTATATATATTTTATTATTATTAATTATTTTGGTTATTTAATTATATGTAAACTATTTAATTACCAATAAATTGTTGTTGGCAAACTTAATGATTTATATTTATTTATATATAATAAAATATTTCATTAATTATTATATTAATATTATTCATCATTTATTCTTTTTCTAGTAATTTATATTAATATTGTTCAATTAAGTAATATTTATATGTAAAACTTTAATATTCTGCAGAAGTTAATATTAAATGTACAACTATTCAATAAATTATTATTTAAGTAAATCATTCTATATTGTAAAAAACGAATTCAAAAATTTTGAAATAAATTAAAACAAAAATTTTAATTTTAATTTATATAGTTATATAGTAATTTATATAGCTTACATTATTAAGCCACCAAGTCATTATTCAACCGTTAATGGCATATATATTGAAATTTTAATAATTTTAACAATTTGTTTTTTATTGGAGATAATTTAAATTATCAATATCAATTATTAATTTAAATATTTTTGATAAGTTCAATAAAAAGTCGATATCGATATTTCCGCCACTTTTAACAGTTTCCGGCATTTGCCGACAGGGGGATTCAGGATTTGCAAAGAAGACAATGGCGTCCAATATGGCGCAATATTCCAATCACGCTTAACCAGAACATGGGCCCATCGATGGACCATCGTACTTTGACATTATTTATTTTACAGTAACGTATTTCGTATGTGTCAGTGATTTGTGAAGGAACAAAAGTGCTGAAATTTATAGTGTTAAAGTGAAGTGATTTGTGTTTTATGTGAAAGTTAATAAGATATGGTGCATTTGTAAGGTTTTCCTAAATAACCTCAAAATCTAATTGGAGGAACGCTCGATATTAAAATATTGTGAATTATTAATTGTTTATCAGTGACATGTTTGGAAAAAAAACCTTAAAAGTTATTATTTAGAAGTTAGATAAGGATTTATTACAGAAGGATTTTATCGATAAAATGTGGGATGTTGTGTAACTTCTGAATTAGTCATCAACTCGTAGAACTGTGCAAGTAAGTTCTCTAAAGTAACGCTGACAAACCTTAAATTAGTATCAATATTCATACATTACAGGTATTTAAACTAAGTATTTTTTTATGTTAATTTTATTTAGTAGGATGTTGAAAATAGTATCACAATTTTCAAAATAGCGATTTAAAATTAACGAGTATAATTTTTGCAAGCGAAGAAATTGGTGATCATTTTCAACAACCCATTATGAATTGTATGCCAAATATTATTTTTTGTTTAGTTAAATATATAGTCGGAAAAACATAAATTTTGAATCGATTATAGGTATTTCGGTGTATAGTTGGTTGCTTGTCGTTTTTCTCTACTTAGTGTAAAAACCGTTTGCGCAATATGAGCCGCTTTTATTTTTTTAACGATCAGGAATGCGTGTTCTTTGAGATGTGTCTATTTTTCCGAAAGGGCAACTCAGTGGTTAACCACTTTTCTTTATATATTAGGTGTAGTACGGACAATATGTTATGGTGTTCTCAATTTTTGTCACTCTTTTACATCTTAGATTTATTTACTACCGAATAACATAGTCTTAATTAAGTAGGAATAATAACATATTTATTAAGGCAAATTACAACTAATCGAGTTTGGCTGAGGTTCTATGATTGCTAGCCCACGTTCTTCACCACTACCTTAGGGGGCATCCATTAATCAAGTGATCGATTTTTAAACCCCTCCTCGCCATTTGATCAATCGGAAGATCCGCGATTGTCGTCGGCAATCTTCGCTCAGACATATGACGTCACATTGCACAACAGTAATGAATTTATTTCTATTACAAAAATGAAGTATTTTTTAGTTGAACTTCTCTAAGTAAATGAAAGTGAATTCGCAAATTATCCGTTTCATTGAAGTGCTCTTTGGTAAACCACATTTTTTGTTTTTTGGTCTGGCGTTAACACAAACAAAGCGGATGGTTTTCTAACTCGTGAACAGGCAACGTATAACTGCCCATGTAAAAAACAATGATTTTCTAAATAATCTATTTGAAATTTATCCCGCAAACACTAAGCGATTGGCCTTGCGACTTGTTAATTGTCATTGCGAACGCAAGGCGAACTGGAAATTGCAATCGTTTGAAGTCAAACGGAAGAGCAGTCGGAATCATTGGTATGTCACTAAATCGCAAGCAATTTTTGATTGAATGGTGAAATTCAGTGCGTGTACATCATTATTCTTTGCGGCAAGAATTGCTCGTTGACTTAACCAAGCATAATTCTGATAATTCTCACTAATGTCATTACTCGAATTTTTAATTACGGTGCGTGAAGTTCCAGCAATTTGCATTAAGGCACGATGCCATGCACAACTAATTTTCTTAGTTATAAACCTAAACCTTGGGGATTCCGACACCTTTCCGACGAATGCAAAATTGTCGAAATCGGTTCGTGCGTTCTGGAGTTATTTCGTCAGGAAGGAAAACCCGACTTATTTTTATATATATGTAAGGTAAAAGACCCAGTTATTGACCCTGGCCCAGTTTCTGACCTTTTCAACTTTTTTTGGAATTAATTAAAAAACTATACATTTAATGTGAAAATAAATTTTTTCTTAATTGACAGTAATTTATTCTATGCCTCATTAATGTCAATTAAAAAAATATAAAAAAGATTAACTAAATAAAAAAAAATTTTTAAACCAAAAGTGACTGTGGAAGCCATTTTTTAGCTTTAGTCTAAACAGTTTATGTAAGGAGCTACGACAATTGAGTTCGTGCACTAATTATTATGTAAGTACGAAAATCTAACTAAAAATATACAAATAAGTCAATAATTAATTAAAATTTATTTTAAAATATTTATAAAACATATTAAATTTAGTTTTATTACTGAAATTTGAGGGTCAATAACTAGGCTCAATTTTAAGTGTATGTCACAGTTGTTGACCCTGCAATTCTAACCTTCTAAAAGCTAGGTTATCTGTCACATGTTTTTAGTCACTTGTTCATTAAATGTAAAAATAATAATATTTATTGTTATCTTATATTTTTTTTACTATTTTTCGTAGTAAAGTGATAAATTTACATTTAATATTCATTGGTATAAATGAAAGATTGTATTTAAATCTTGTAAATACATCTTTTAAGTGATAAAATTATTAAAAAAAAAATGTCAGTTTTATCAATGCTTAAATTATGACTGTTTTAGTTTACTAATATTTTTATTATTATACAATTATACAATTACAATTAATTAAATGAAAATTAGAAGAAGAAAAAGAATTGAGAAAAGCTGAAAGGTCCAAAAATAAAGCCATCAAGGAGGCAGAAAAAATAATTAAAAAAGAAAAACTTGAAGAAAAAAAAAACAAAAAGCTCTTAAAATAAAAAAAAAGTCCAAGTAATTTAAATAATTAATTTTAATTTTTTTGTTTGTGTAATATGTTATAACAAGACTTGAACTATTTATACGTTAAATTTTAACAAACTGTATATTTTTAGAATAAATATTTAATTTATTTATTTTAATAATAATTTCAGTTTATTTAAAATTAGTAAGCACTTCATAACCTAATCATGATTAAATTTGAGGGTCAGAAATTGGGCTACGGTCAGGGTCAGAAACTGCCACACGAAGAATTCTGAGGGTCAGAAACTGGAGCTCTTAATGTCAATTTTTAAAACGTCAATTTAAAATATAAATTTAGTTCAAATAATTTTTTTATGCACATTACTTTATTTTAAAAATCCTAAACTAATAGATAAAATTATAATTTTTTTCATTAAGTTAAGTTTTATATTAATTATTATAGTTTAACCTCCACCGTCACTCTAAAAAGGTCAGAAACTGGGCCCCTTACCTTAGATGACAATTAAATTTTCTATATCTAGACTGACCAATTTTTTAGCGATAATCCAGATGCAAGCCCGAAGTTCGGGTGTTCATTGCGTAATTTTTTCCATGCTTCAGCAAATGATGTCCGAATAGAATTTTCATCAGTTTCAATTCCAAGCCTATTGGCTATTTCTGTAAAACGTCTTCCTGCATCAGCCCGGAGACGAATCAGAGTGTCGCGCAAATCAAAAGTTACTAAACGAAAGCGAGTGAATCGCGACATTTTACTAATAGTTAATACTGAAATAACTATGAATTACACATTTAAATTTTTATTTTCGGTCCCAAAACATATTTGAATTTTTATTGTTTTTGATTTTCACGAAATTGAGTGCACATTGTTCTCTCATGGCTAATGTGACTAGGAAATAATAGTCATGACTGGATGCGAGATAATGTTTTATTTATTTATTTATTTATTTATTTATACTCCAATGTGCTTCATACAGTAATGCTTTATATTTCAATTATTTTGACTAAAAATCAATAGAACGCAATATTTATGAAAAAAACTAAAGATTAAGACTAGTGGTGCATGGCATTGTGCCTTAAGACAAATTGCTGGAACTTTCCGTACCAAAAATTACAGCTTTCAAAAAAGCTTTAAAATTGTTTGATTCATGTTTTCAAATTTATCAAATAGATTTGTGGGAATTTTGAAATTTTTGAGAAATCGTATTTTTAAAAATTTGAATTTTTTTATGTTCTGATTTTTTTAAATTTGAACTTTTTTAACTACCCGTAGGGTGTTATTGTAATCGTCTAAAACTCAAAATTGAAAATTTTTGCATTTCTTCAGGTTTTGATGGTTTTTGAACATTTTGGCACAACTTAGCAAAAATTGATTTGTGTGTATGTATGTATGGATACAATTTTTCGTCCACGTTTTAGGGCGCATGGATCAATCGATTTGAATGATTCAAAAAACATTCGATGCCTATTGATAGGGATACTTGCTGATTAGTTTTTGGCAAAAGTCAGTCCAGTCGTTTTGGAGTTACGGAGCAAAGAGTGCAGAGCATCCGATTTGAATGATCCAAAAATTATTTTATTTGTAATGATGGGCAGAAGTGGTGGTTAGTTTTTGGCGAAGGCAGGTCTAGCCGGTTACCGAGTTAAATGTGCAAAAAATGGCAGTTTTTGATAGAAATAATCATCTGGTTGAATGATTCAAAAAACTTTCTGCTTAAACTAAAATAAACATTGGTACAAAAAAATTATATTTATTATTAGAATCTCTACAAAGAATCTGATAATTTGATATGCATATGTCTAATGATAATTTTTGACCGTCAAATTAGATTTTTTTTTAAATTTTTTTTATTGGATCTTCAAAACCTCTAGACCTGCCTTCTCAAAAATTTAATCTGTTTTTTATTCCATCAATGCATGTGAAATCTTTTGAATTTTTTCACACACACATACAAACATACACATACATACAAACATACACACACATACAAACATACACACACATGCACACATTCATTACATACACACATACATCCATTTTTTCTAATTTTTCGTAAAGTATGCCAAAATGTTTAGAAACCTTTGAAACGTAAAGATTTATAAAAATTTCATTTTCGATTATTTTTGCGATGCCTATAACTTACCCTATGGGGAGTTAATAACTAGTTATCAGTTAAGAAATAATTTAAATTATTCCTTGAGGGATTTAATCATGGATTATTAATTTACTTAAATTCTATCAGTGATACGCAGTAAATATATAATAAATTTATTATTTTTTTGTAATTTTCTTACAGCCAGCACAACCAAAAATTTAACTATCTTTAATTAAAACTTACAATTTGTAACTTTTATAAGGATATTGTAATATAATATGCAAAAGCTTTTTAACAAACTACAATCTATAATTATCATGTAGTATTATTTTATTTGCAGTAACAAGTATAATATCATAATTTATTGCTATTATATAGATTGCTTTCAGATTAATATTAGATATTTAATGTATATCTATATTATATATGTATATATATGTATATATATATATATATATATATATATATATATATATATATATGAACAAATGAACTTTTATAATACATGTGTATTTTAAGAGCTCACACTTGCCTAAAACTAATTTATGCATAGATAGTAAAAGTTTCAGTTGATAAAACAAGAAATTTTAGGATTTCAAAAAAATACTGTAAATTGAATCAATTGTTTTGCCTAATAGGATGGTAGTTATTTTAATACCCGGAATTTTGAAATTAAAACATTCTGCCAGATTTTTTTTCTGAAAACTCTTTATTTTTATGGAAAAACGAGAAGGTTATCTAGGACCGACTAAAAATGTAGGCCAATGATTCAACCTAGTTAAAATTATCTTAACCAGTGCATTTTGAAATAAGTTTTAATGCCTATAATAGTTTTGACTTATACTTAATATCCTATTGTTGAAATTTTGAATAATAAGAAGACATGTCACAACATACATTAGAAACAGTAGATTTAGTAATTATTTCTAAATTTATATGTAGGCAGACAAAAATTTGCATTATGATAATTTATTTATATTTAAATAGTATTCATGATAATGTTTGATTTTATTACTTTTTAGCGCTGGCTCTGTTGAACTAGTATTTTATATTGAAAATAATACTGTATGCCATAAATTTTATTCAGCAAAGAATTCGAAGCAATTAAGGAACGTGGTGATATAATTAGTTGCTAATAACTAAAATTCAAAAATAAGAATACTAAAGCAAAGAGTTTACGACATATATGTTGGCAAAGAAAAATCATAAATCAATTTCTGTCTTTATTTGGCAAAAAAAAAAAATTATTGCATCTGCAACAATAAGTACTCCAGCAAAAAGTTACTTACAATTAGTGACCTTTATACATAAACTTTATATTACATGGACTGCTAGTAGAGCGCAAAATAAGTGGTCAAACATAAAAGGGAATGCGACTTCACATGTCTGAGCGAACATAGCCGACGACAATCGCGGATCTCCGACGCTGAATTGATTAAATGTCTTATGTCATATGTTTTATTAACTTCCCTAAGGAGAAGTTTATGTTTTTAATAATATAATGGCAATTGTGATGGCTGATAATTTTGTAAGAAATGATATTACTAATATTTATCATAACAGTTAATTTAATTCAAATATTATCTGTGATAGTTTTATTTCAATAATATAATGGCAATTGTGATGACTGATAATTTTGTAAGAAATGATATTAATAATATTTTCCTTGTAAAATAAATGTACATAAAATCGAATCCACCTGTTAAAATCAGTTTATAAATTATAAGGTCTATGCTAGCCACGTAACATATGACATGACATTTGATCAACCGGGAGAGTCCGCGATTGTCGTTGGCAATGTTCGCTCAGACATATGACGTCACATACCCTTCTATGTTTGAGCACTATATACAACGGAAAATATATGAGGACTAGCAGTCCATGTAATGTAATATCTATGCCTTTATACAAAAAATATCATTGAATGTTGAAAATAATTGAACCAATTAAATTTTTGCTGATGTTATATCAGAATACTATGATTTTATTATTATTAAAAAGATTGCAAATTTTTGTCTTGCAGATTAGTAAAGCATGTATTCTACCTTAGCTAAAATAGTATTTTTCAACTGGAAACGTGTTTGAGCAGAAAAAGACACAACAGTAAATGACTTCAGAACGCAAGCAAATTCTTAAGAGGCTATGGTGAATGATTTACTCAACAATATAATAATTTTTAAATTATATAATGTTATTTTCAAGGATATATAAATAAAATTTAAACATTTTTTTTGTGTTGATATAATTTTTTTTCATATAAATTTCCCCAAGTTGCTTTAAAAATTTTAATGCATTTCATTGTGCAGTAAACTCTTATTATCACAGTTTTATATGTTTTGTTTACTTTAAAACAAATTGTATATTCCTCAATCCATTAACTCATTGAAGTCAAATCATTACAATAGCCAATTAAGAATGTATTTGTATTTTTCGGCATAATTTCTATCAATAATATTCAATATTTATCAATGATTGTGCTTATCACAGTAACGTTTATTTTATTTATTATATAATTTTTAAGCAATTTATAATAAATGCATTATATTTTAATGCATTGTATCGAACATTATGCTTTAAATAATTGGACGCTATAGTTTACTTTAGCTAAATTAAATTATCTTGATACACTTTATGGACTCTTATAAATTGATTATGAAAGCATATTGGAAATAAGTATTGAAATATTAAATTTTACAATTATATATTATTTAAATTTTTGTTTTAATAGGTGTTTATAAATCGGTCAAAATAATATAAAAAAGAAAGATTTTTTAGAGAGAGTAAGATAGGAATTTGGAAGAATTTCTAACTTTCCAAAATTTTCTACACCACACACTCAAATATTCACTCTCATATGTGGTGGCAGTATTATTGGATTTTTAGACGTGAAAAATGAATCATGTGTATTTTAATATGAACAAAATAATTTTAACATATATTTCATACACAGGGTGTACCAGAATTTAACGTCAAGCCGAAACGGGGTGTAATTGAACTTAACTGCTGTCCTTAAAAAAATAGAAAAAAAAATTCACATTTGAAAAGTATGAGCTTTTAAGTGCAACCTAGAGCTTTGGTGAAATTATGACCATTTTTCCGTTATTGTGCTTAATTTTTATTTTTTTTATTGAAAAATTTGGAATAGTAACCGTAAATAAAATCTCTAGGACAACAGTAAAAAAAATAATACAATTGGTGGAAGTTTTCAAGTATTAAGACTTTTGTTGAACTATGAATTTAAAATTTAAAAAAATGGTCGATTTTGAGAGGACCTCCTTTTTTTAAAAAAAGTTGGCACTTTTAATCAGAATTGTAAATAGTCAAATACTTGATAATTTTATTATTAAAAAGGTTTTTAAAAAATTGAAATTAATCACAATAACCGAAAAATAGTCATAATTACACTAAAAGCTCATTATTTCCAAACATGAGATTGTTTTTTTTTATGATTTTGTCGGTACTGTTAAGGTTAATATTCTCAGGTCGTTTCGCCTTGACGTTGAGTTCTGGGACACCCTGTATATTTTAAGTGTTTAGACTTGAGCAAATTTCAAGCGTTATCTAAAACAATTTGAAGTGATGCCTAATTATAATATAAGCTTTAGTGTCAAATAATGATAATCTACGAACTAAATATTTAGTGGAAGTATTATTA